GAAGGAGAGTGGGAGAGATCGAAGAGGGAGATGAAGACGTCAGAAGATGAAGATGTGGGAGATGGAGATGTTGGGATACGTGCAAGAAGCAGGGAGATGAAGATGTCAGAGGATGAAGATGTGGGGAGATGGAGATGTTGGGATACGTGCGAGAAGCAGGGAGATCTTCACAGAACGTGGAAATCTCTCACGACGCAGGAGTTGATAACGGTCCCAAGACAAGTAAGATGACAAGGTGACACAACTTCGCTCCGATCACCTGTAAAAAATGAAGAGAAGCTCGCTGAGCGAGACGGACCTGAAGTCTATGGATGCGAGCAACCATGACACGGACGAATGGTTGAGAGTGGACGAAAGTGACATCCCTCTCTTCCTGGAGAGCAGGATCGAGGTTGTGTCTACACTTGCAACCGATGCTGTCAACCTTGCTGCGCACCATCGAGCAGAGTTCCTTTCAGTCTTCTTCATGATGATCTCGCCCTCTGTCGTGATGGTGTTCTGCCTTTTCTTCCTACGGTCCATCATTGCAGCCATGTTTGGTTACCACGTGATCTCGTGCATCTCGGGTCCAGCCCTCTACATCTCCTTCAGGTTCGGGTCGTCGCAGCTGCTGAAGATCTCATCGCAGTGCATCTCCAAGGAGCTCAAGATCCAGCTGCTCGCCGGCTTCGTCTACTTCGCCATCATCGCCATAGGCGGGGTGTGCATGTACTGGGCGATAGGGCATACCATCATCCCCAACAAGCTGGACATCGTTGAAGAGCTCGGATTGTCTACAGACCCGCTGGTGAGAGAAGGAAGGGAGACGGGAAAGCAGGGAGTGAGCCAGGAAGAGGGGGAAAGGGAAGGTGGGAGGGAGGGAGCCAGGAACGGGACAAGGGAGGGAGGGGGGGAGGGAGGGGGAGAAAGGATTTTGAGGATGTTTATCAGATGATGTTGACGATGTTGATTTTTCAGTTTCTCTGCCTCTTCAGCCTCTACTTCTGCATTGTGAATCCTTTCCTAGAAGAGATCTTCTGGAGGGAGTTCATCCTTCGAACGCTGGGGACAAGAGAAGTAACTCTGTGGGTAAGAGTTGCTATCCCACCTAAGAAGCTCTTGACCTTGTCCTGCAGCTCACTTCCTGTTTCTACGCGCTCTACCATGTGTTCGTCCTGTCCGCAATGGAGATCGATTTTGAGTTGTGCATGGCTTGTTTTGTGGGGCTGATCGTTTTTGGGCGAATCCTCTGCTTGCTCACGAAGAAGACAGGAGTTTTCAGTGCCTTTCTTGCGCACAGTGCAGGAGATGTTGTAATTGTTGCTGTCATGTGGGATTGGTACGTGAATTGGATTCAATGAAGTCCCCTCAAAATTGCATCTTGGTTTGCAAGTCTGTCGATCATGAGGATTCTGGCAGTATAAATAACAATTCTACAGATTCGCTCAAACATGTTTTCACATGTCAACTATGCTACACGTCTTCTTTCCAGCACTGCACGTGTGTCCTCGTTTTGCCTTCACCTATCAGAAATGCGGAATACCAGGAAATTGCATCGGCATTTCTTTCCGGCCCGACATATTATCCGATGCCTGCGAACCCAACGATCAGAACAAGTTATGGAGTCCGGCAGCGTCACGTAAGCCCAGGCCTTGGCGATGGTTTGCTTGATTGAGTCGTCCCCCTCTTCGTACATGCACCGCATCACTTGCAGGATCTCGTCGTCTGTTTGCCTTCTGTCAGGATACATCTTGACGAGAAACATCTAAGCAATTTCCTGTGTTGTACTTCTTGTCCTTGATCCCTTGTAGCATGTTTGCTTCCATAGTGTTTGACTTCCTGGCTCAAACTTCAGCAAATGCACAGCACACCATTGCACAGGTACAGGCTCGGCCAGAACTCGTCTACTTTCTTCTGAAGTTTCAGCTGAATCATGTCTTTTTTCACACGCCAGAACTGGATGATCGACATGTCAGCAACAGCATGCCAGCGATCACCATCTTGAAGCGCAGGCGAGGGATCGGAATTCGAAAAACAACACATGGTTGACTTACCGATTCTTCTGTTGCAATGGCTCGATACAAATCCGAGAGCTCGTAGAGATAATTGGAGCCGTTCAGATCTAGAGTAAACATCGTATGTATGATCAATAGGAATGTTCTTGGAAGATCGTGCAATCTCTTACTCCTGATCTTCACGTCCAACGACTGCGCACCAATCCGTACCTTCAAATCATCTTTTTGTACAGTTCCAACTCCATCAAGAGTTATCTGACATGTAAAGTCAAATCAAGATCCAAGGAGATTGTGTTCGACCACTGGTATCATAGCATCATGGATGGAGGCAGCATGCATCATCGCATGAACAGGTCAAGCTTACATAGATGTTGACGTTGCGCTCGCCATCCTGGTCCCAGGAAATCTTGTCGATGGATTTCCAACGAAATTCTTGAGCTGCTGCCAAGTTCAGCAGAGAGCGAAGGAGAGCCACGAGCAGCGTCCTCGAGCACCAGCACCTTGTGATCCAACATGCTGATGCTGAGGTGTTTCGATTCGCTTCGGAGGGTTCGCGGACGGTTTGGACTGGGCACGCATGGCTGCCTCGAACTCCATCTTTGTGGGGCCCCGCAACGGCCCAGCGAGTCTCTGTTTCCTCAGCTGAGCACGCTCCTCCTCCTCCTCATGCTACCTTTAACTCCAGAATCTTGGTATACAGGAACTCCCGATGTCCCAAGCTCGCTATCCCAACCTGGCACTCTGAATCAAGACTTTGGAAAACCTCTGTGGAGTCATTTCTTCACTTTTTCTAGTTTGGTTGTTGTCATTTCCCACAGGATCTCGCCATCGATGTCATTCTCCTCCAGCAATCTGCAGGGTCGTCAACAGCAACCAGACGGCTCCTCCTGCTCGCTCGATACCGCTTGTAAGTGTCCGTCTTGTTTCCAAACTTGTACCGCAGGTTCTCCACAAATCGCAATACCTGCGTGATGTCCCACAGCTTCGGGTGTTTGGCTGCTCCATCTGATGCGTTCTTCTCCCCTCCTCCTCGCAAACAGAGCGACGGCAGGAGCTCAGCGATAGCAAGTCCGGCTTCTCTTCCACATTTCAACCCTCCTCCCTCCCCTCTCACTGATGACAATACTGTAAATGCTCCTCGGTATGCTCCTCGGTATGCTCCTGCTCCCGCTCCTACTCCTGCTCCTGCTCCTGCTCCTGCTCCTGCTCCTCTCCATCCTCCTGCTCCTCTCCATACTCCTGTCTCTCCTCCGCTTCCGGTGAGCTCCGTCACCATGACGGCTATAAGGAAACCATGGCCATGCGCCCCACCATGACGATGAATCCTCAACCCCCCAAGATCCACGCTTGTACCCCTTCTATCCTCAATTTACTAATTCCATGAAATATTCATTGAATAATTTTGATTTTAATCGAATATATTGAAATTTTGTTGAAAATCTCTCCGAACAAGAATCAGGACCAGTGGACCCACCTGACATTAATTGACCCCACCCCTACTTTACCACATTTCTGCAGGGAAAAAGTACCGGTGATCAAAGACTACCCTAGGAAACAAGAGGCCGACAATGGCGGCTGTGGTTGCTATGGCACTGGCGCTGCCTACAATGAGCGCAGGATTTCTTCTTCCTCCTCACTCAGTGTCTTCATCCTTTGCTTCTCTCAGCTCGGAGTCGATCCCTTGTCGCTCTAGCATGCTGAGACCCTCCTCCCGCGCCATCAGCCAGACTTGCGGCCTGCGTGCACTTCGCAGCGCTGTGGGTGAGTCGGAGGAGATGCATGAGTGCTGGAGGACAAGTGTTCAGAGATGTTTTGTTATGTTATAATGTTGTCATGCTGGTGTACTGGTGTGCTCTTATGTTGTTATTGGTGTTTCTTCTATGCCTTTGAATTATGGGATGATACTGACCCCTGAGTTTGCTGCGTTAGATGATGCTAAGGAGGGAGTGATGAGCCGATCCTCGGCATTGCGTTTCCTCGCAGGGAGCATGGTAGCTTGGTCCTGTCATGAATTTACTGGGAACTCATGCGGTCAACCAGGTTGCTTCCTCCCTTGCCGCCTCGAAAGCTGCCGTAGCTGAGGAGAGCTCCACCGAAAGCGCCACCGAGGTCTGAGAGACTACACTGCTGCGCTCACTCTACACCTCCTGTGCCCTCACATCGTGACAGAGTTCAGACGGCGAACAGATCATCGAGCTGGACCAGATCAACGGGAAGAAGATGGGGGTGCGAGAATGCCGTTGCCTCCAGCCTGCTCGAATGTTGCTGATGGCTCCTCAGGTCCTTGGCGGAGCGTTTCTCGTCGCCGATATTCTTTCAGGGCTGATCACAGGGAGGTGGACGAGTGTTTCTTGGAGGGAGCGAGAGATTGAGCTGCTGCGTTCAGGTCGGTCCTTCGGATCGTGGGGGGGAACGAGGACCCCAATGATTGGAAGGTTAAGGTAGTGAATAAGCTTCTGGAGAAGGAGAAGAAGGAGGCAGCTGCCAGGATGGGCGTCAGCGTCATCACTGAGTCAAAGCCTCGCCCGGCCTCCTCCACTGGCGAGTACGCCAAGTCCGACCCCTTCGAGATCGCCAAGCAGAAGTACAAGAAGAAGGAGTCTATCGAGGACCTTTCCCGAGAGCTGTGAGTACTCTACCTCCACCTTGTGTCCTCCTGACTTGCTCAACAGCCGGAAGAAATTGGACACGAAGCCGGCCAAGGGCGACGACGATGAGGACGATTAACATACACGCCCTAGGATGACGATGAAGAGATTGAGATGATTCATCTACATTCTCTGGTGGTAAGGATCGTAAAAAGCATAAATCTCATCGTCTACTTCCAGCTTCGCCACTTTGCGAGGCTTCACATCCTCTTTTGAGACTGTCGAACTGCTGCAAGCACAAGATCAGATTCGTCAACGCATCAACATACCCGTCCTACGTAGTCTCGGATTCCACTGTCTCCTCTTTCTCCTCCAGCCTGAGCAACTTGGCTTGTCGCTCCAGCAACACAGGACATTGTACATGTCCTGCATCATCATACAACTGTGGCGATAGTGAGAACTTGCTTCCTCCCAACCAGAGTGTCGGGCGTTACCGAGTGCCCGATCGCCTCCTCTCCCAGCCCCGCGTTCATGCAGAACTCACACCTGCAACGAGTTAGCAGTGAAGCTGCGGAGAGGAGGAGCAGGCGGACCGGGGCAGGTTCTCTCGTTGGAAGGCTCTCTGCCATGCGCTGTTCTCCTCTTCGAACTCCTGGCAACATGTTACACACAAGGAGGTCTGCGCTGTGAAGGATGTGCGCAATGAGGAGGAAGGACAGCACACCTTTTCCTTCTTGATCTTGTCCTCGTGCTCGTGCTTGATCCGCTGCTGCCGCTCCTCGTACTTTCTGTACAGCAGCCACAGGAGGTAAGACACCTGGCCAACGTCATGAGCAGGGGAGCAACATGCCACTGCAGCGCATGCCTCCAAGATCCCCAGGATGGAAAGATGCAGGACCTGAAATTGCACAACGTACGAGGTTCAGCTCAATGTCGAGGAGGTCGAGATTTTGCTTCACCCGTAAGAAAATTGCCATGCGGTGGAAACTCCGCGCTCGTCCTGCTCACTCCCTCCTTCTTTTGGGCTTCAGTAGGCTGCCGCGCGGAATCATCGCCGTTCTACTAGCCGGAATGGTCAGTAAGTTTCTTCTTACATTTCTTCATCTCCGAGGCTTTCCTCCATCTCCCCTTCCCCCTCAGTTCACAACCTCAGTTCCATCCTCCTCCCTTGCCACTGTCCAGCATTCCGATAAAAAAAGGTCAAATCATCATCAACCGGCGCCCCCCAGGCTGAGGCGCTGAGCCGCCCGGGCCGTCACCCGGACTCGTATTCAAGAGTAGCTCAGCGCCGCCGGTGATGATCGGATCGGAGTCGAGCCTCTGACTGGCATCCTCTACTCTCCTGATGCTCCTCAGTGATTGTCCTCCAAATTAATTTCGAGTGAAGGTTTTCCTAGTGTGCCGGGGACAGCAGGCAAATTGGTCTCCTGATTGTCCTCGTACTGATTTTAACTTAACTTTGAGTAAAAAGTTTTCCTAGAGTCCTCTCCCTCTCCCTTCCGATCACTCGGATCACGTATCATGATGTAGTCCTCGGGCCTCAGCCAGCCTGGGTCGGGCCGGCCGGGCGGCGGCCTCCCGGAGTCCGGCGGCGGCGGGTCTCCGAGTCACTCGGCCGCGTCGCCGATTTTTCTCACAACGGTTATGAGCCACGACTCTGGTGATTGGTAGGGGTGGGAATGATAGTAGAAATGAGGGGTAGGAGGTAAATTAAAGGGAAAAAGGTAGGGTGGTAACCTATGAGGAAAGAGCCTTGTGACGAAGAGCCGCGCGCAATAATATGGTTGGGTACGGGTCGATGGAGGCGAAGGTGGAGGAGGAGAGGACGAGGACGAGGAAGACCCTTCCTTCCCTCCCCCTCCTGTCTGTCTTCGTCCTTGCGGCAGTTGCCATCTTGGCTGTTGTCTTCCTTCATGGAAGAACTCAGGGGAGGATCGAGGAGGTTGAGTTCCCAAAGGACAACCTCGGAGTAATCAACGTCCTGGTAAGATGGAGTGAGGAGGACCATGGGAGGATGATCTTTCTTCTCCTTGTCTATCCATGTTGTTGTCTCTTGTCGATGTTATGGCTGAGATTTTTTCGAACGCCGGTCGTGATGTCGTGAGTGAATTCTGAACAACGGTGTTATCATTACTTGATGTGAACGTGTCCTTGGTTGAGTTGGGAGGTAGCATCCCGATATTGATTTCTTCTGGCAGAGGAGCTCCCAGCCAGCAGCAGCGCGTCCCATGACTCAGATGATGCGCGAGGGCGCCGCTAAGAAGCATGAGGACAAGCTTACGCTTCCTCAGCAGTATGCAAGGGTAAAGACTCTCGTCCTTGTTGTCTACTCATGATTCGATTGCTTCCTGCTCCGTCACCTCCTTCTACACTCTCCTATCTCCACGTTCCTTTATGCTTGATCCATCGTCTCCTCTCCCTTTATTTCTCCCGGACGTGGGATGAGAATCGTTCCACCACTTCCTCGATTTGCTTCCTCGAATCGGTGATGGGCTCGCAGATTATGCAGAACATGGGATACTTTGCGCCATGGAGCAGGGTGAACTCCTGGGAGGACCGAGTGGCGATCAACAACATCAGGAAGGCCAACACTCCCCAGGTGAGATAGAGAGTGTCCAAATATAACTTGTCATGACTTGCTGGGAGGACAGGCTCTTGCGATGAGACAGAAGCAGATTGAGAGGGAGAACGCCAAGTTCGCTCGCAAGTTCAGCACCCCTCACACCTCCCAGTACACGGGAGTCCACGAGAGCATGGACGCTATCTTGGACCCAAGGTTTACCCCCTGGTCCAACGACTCTCCCCGCAAGGCATATTACCAGGGGTACTAGAGGGACTAGTGGGTCTTGTTACGATAGAATTCCATGAATCCTGCGTTGGGTTGACGGCGCGTCTCGTGAGGCGGAGGAGGAGGCGGAGCAGAGAGGCAAACTGCATGTCTAACTGCTGGTTGACGTCTTGCTCGATCTCCACCACTTGCACTGACTTGTGTCAACATCACAAAATCCAACATAATTGATTTATTTGCTCTGGTTATATTCACTGACATTCTCTTCGCTCCTACATGATACCTCATCCTCACCTGCCGCGCTGGCTCACGGGATGTTTGCTGTACAACTTCACAATGATCCTCAAGGCGATGAACTTGAGGACAGTGTGAGAAGCGATGTTGAAGCAGCTCTCCACGTGCTCCCGGAATCTTTGGAAGAGGAACCACGGGAACCTGAGCAACCGCTCCAGCATCTCCTCCCATGTCAGCACGCGCTCCGAGTACTTCTTGCGAGCTAGCGCGACCTCCTTGAGTGCAGCGCTCGCTACTATGTCTCCTCCACCGATCCTGTTGGTCATCTCGGTCGTGAAGGCTTCCAGCCACGCAAGGTCCATCGACAGGGAGGGGAAGACTCCGCGGATGCGCTTGGTGTGGTTGGCATCGAAGAACTTGGAGCCTCGGCCTCGTAAGATCGCCCACTCGAGGAGGAGGAAATAGCAGAACTTAGGCGCGAAGGAGACAAAAGTTGCTGTGATCGACCAGAAGACTAGGAAGAAGACAGAGATTGGATTCAGGATGGCAAACATAGCAATGGGGAGGAGAGAGAGAGTGATAAAGATGTTTCCCCAGTTTGCCGTCAGGATGTATCCTTCTTCTTCCCTATCATCTGCTGCAGCCCGAGAAACTGGCTGGTGAGTCCGAGCCGGCATGTCCGATACACCTGAGTTAGAAATGTCAGGAAGCACGCAATAAAGGTGCAAACAGGACACAGCATCGAGATACACGTTAGCACAACAGGATGTGTTACACACAGCAGGTTGAGCAGAAGGATGGAGATTGAGGGGGGGGAACTGATTTGTGTACAAGCTATCTAGAAGTTGAGATGCGAATCCTGCCCTCGTCATCTTTGATAGGCTCTATCTCTACTCTATCTCAATAGGAGAGGATAGCAAGTAGACTTGGGGGTATGAGGTGCTGATGAGATTGAGGTTTGAAGGGCTGGTGCAGTGTAGAGCAGAAGATGGTGTACGGGATAAGACAAGATGACATGAAGAACCCAGGGAAGGGACATGAGATGTAGCCCACGACATATAGACAGAGAAGAGACGCCAGATAGAGAAAGGAAGATGGAGCAGGAGAAGAGGAAGATGCAGGAACAGGAGCAGGAGCAGCATTTGAAGGAAACTAAAGAAGGAGGAGGAGGAGCAGGAGGATTATTTGAAAGAAACTAAAGAAGGAGGAGGAGCAGCAGCAGGAGCAGCAGCAGCAGCATGGTAGAGCAGCTGCCATGCCTTCTACGATTTTGATTTTAAAAAAAACTCTTTTACAGATAAAAAAAGAAAGGCACATATCTGTAACATTCAGCAGTTCTAACTTGAACATCGGGATCAAGTTCATTCTGCTTCACATTCCTTCACACAACGAGCACAGATACAGTTCTCCGTAAAGCTGAAAGAGGCAGGAGATAGTCGCAGTCAACAGAGAGACAAGGTTGCAACTCAAAGAGGTTCATACAACCAGGGATGTTGCAAGTTGAAGGAGACTCGTGAGAAGATAGTATATTCGTCTGTTAAGGTTTATGTACTAAATCTGAGAGACAGACAATCTATTGCGTATCACTGTTGCCATGGAATTCTTCTTCGCGCTTCTATTCTACAAGCTTCAGGTTGCTGTTCTTGTCCCTGCGTACAAGAGAGTCAGAGGGCGGCAGGCAGGCAGGCAGGTAGTAGCAGCTTACCATGGCACGAAGACCTCTCGCTGCTCGTCGTAAATGTAACAGAAGGCATCTCCAGGCAGCGAGCAAGCATCAGCAAGGGTACACACCCAGACCTCGAGCTCCCCCCTGATCATCAGCTCCCCGAGGCCTCCCATCGCAAACGTCTTGTTTTGGACCGAAAGGCCCTCGACGATGTCCTGCCAACTATGCTGCATCCGACAGTCAAGGTACTGGCTCTTGACGAACCAGTACCGAGAGAGTGCGTTGCTCGAGATGTTTGCCGTCCACGTCATCGTGAAGCCCTGGTAGGCAACGCTCTCGTCGGTCTGGAAGACAATCTCGATGATGCCGTAGCTGGAGGTGTAGGTGAGGCTGCCGAGCTCGGGGGTCCCCGTGAGCTTCACCAGCTCCGTGCTGCCGATGCACTCGAGGTTGGGAGCTGCGAGCCCGATGCACTGGTTCACAGTGACAAAGTCATACCCAGCCTCGAGCGCGAAGGAGGTGAAGTCGATCTTGATGGAGCTCGCTCCAGCGGGCTGTATGAGCCACCTGCAGCTGCTCCCGTCGTCGTACAGGCTGGACATGGCTGACCCATCACTCATCGAGCCTGTTGCTGCCTGGTAGAGCTGACAGTTGCACTTGCCTCTGCATGGCTGGACAGCTGAGCTGCAGACGCTGTCTTGGAACTCGCTGCAAGGCAGAGCATGCTCTCCGCTCCTGCACACGGGGTTCGAGCAGGTCCGACAGGAGGATCCTGAGATGTACTCGCCGGGGTTGCAGCGGATCTTCTTGATGAGGATACGCGTGTCATGGCAGTTTACACCTGGTGACAGCGAGTACAGCTCGGCGTCAGTCCTGATGGACTTGGTCAAGCCAGAGAGCTGGGAAATGCTTCCCGGAACCATGGAATCATCGTTGAAGGTCGAGTAGACTGTCCCGTCCGCCACCACCAGCCTGCGGAGGCCCCAGGGATAGCGAGTAACTACTCCAGCCGCGTCCGTGTCGTTGGGGGCTACTTGCCAGCCCGCTGGAAGCTGGACCATGCCGCACTGAAGCATCTGATTGGGAGTTGAGATTGGGCCTTGCAGGGGATCCCACGGGGTCGTCATGTTGTCAACAAGCACAGCGTACTCGTCCCCGCTCTCCGAGGTCACCGCATAGATCCATCCGCACTGGTACGAGCTCCCCTGCCAGCTGCTGGCACTGCAGGATGAAGTCACATTGCACAGAACAGATCCTGGTCGGAGGATGACTCCGTCCTCAGCAGAGAGAGGGTTCGAACAAGGCAGACACTGCATCCCCAACCTGTAGTAGCCGGGCTGACAACGCCACGAGCACTCTTCGGAGCTGCTGCTGAGGAAGTAAGCCATGTTAGGCTTGTTCATGCATGGAAGACAGCTGCCGTAGCTGCGGTAGTGACCGAGGCCGCACCGCCACGGGCATACCACACCACTTGCGTCATCTGATTCCACGTAGACGGCATTCTCAGGCTTTGGATACCTGGGATTGCACGCAGAGCAAGCGTCGTAAGACTTGAAGTATCCTGCCTGACAGGTCCACCCACATCCATTTGGCCCGGAGGAAGCCACGGCGTTGGCAGGCAGGAGCTGGGAGCATGGCGTGCAGTTCTGATCCCCCCTGCCCTGATAGCCCTCAGCGCAGTCTAGGCGGACGAGAAGGATCCTCAAGGCCCAGAACTGATTGTCGCAGTACATGAGAGCGTATGAGTTGCCGCTGCGATACATGGCATAGTCAGACACCACAGTCCCAGGCGTGTAGTAGCCCATGTAGTCCTCGTACATCCTGCCCGTCTGGTAAGCAACGCTGTCTGCCAGCACCATCCCTCGAGCTCCCCACGGGTATGACGCGATGACTCTCACAGCGTCTTCGCTCCACGGAGCCACCACCCAGCCCAACGGAGGCTGCTGAAGCATGGAGCCGTCACGTTGGCAGGAACGATTCAAAGACGTGGGTGCGACGTCGTCGAAGGACGCGAAGACTCTTCCCTTGTAACTGACCTCGTGCTCGAGGTCGTGAGATCTGCTGACGTTGCAGCCAGCGCCATAACTGAGGTTGTTGGCACAGGCCCATTGGCAGGACTCAGGCTGATCCACGAGGCCCGCGGTGGAGTAGAAGGCAAACTTGGGGATCGAGTTAGTGCAGGGAAGACAAACCATCCACTCAGAGCTCTGATAGAATCCAGCGTCGCACTGCCAGGGACACTTGCTGTCAGCGTACTGCCCAGGGTTGGAAGCTGCAGCATAGCTGGCGTTTGCAGGAATAGGATTTGTGCAGGAGACGCAGGAAGAACCTGAAAGGTAGAAACCAGGGGAGCAGAACAAGGAGACAAGAAGGATATCACTGCAAGAGTCCCAAGCTCGGTACTGGTCTCCCCGGGAGATGAGGAGGCTATTCATGTAGAAGGAGGGAGAGTTACAGCAGGCGCAATTGGACGTCTGCCAGAGAGAACCATCTGAGAGCTGCAAGCGACAAACACCCCAGCGCTGTGTTGCCGTGACCATTTCACTGTCCATGGTGTTGGGGGCTATCATGAAGCCGGCAGGGATGCTACGAAACCTCATGTCACTTGTGCACTGCCGCGTATCCTCGGGAGAGTGACTGTACAACGTTGCATAGTATCTATTGCCGTACTGAAACATCTCACAGCTCACGACCGGCTTGTTGTTGGGCCCTTGAGAGATCCGTTGAAAGCTCCCAAAGTCGCACGCCCACCCGCACATCGTCCCGTTCGTCCCCTCGACCAGCCAGTGAGCCCGCACAGGCTTCACCTCCTCGCACGCGACGCACTGCCCGGCCTTGAGGTAGTAGCCTGCCATGCATCGCCACCCGCACTCCGTCCATGACCCGTTCAGCCCCCCCGGCCCGTACGACACGTACTCTGCGTTGCCCGGTGCCGTCCCGCACGCCTCGCACGCCTCGCCTCGTCGCACGTAGCCAGGCTCGCACTCCCACGGACAGACGCTGTCGCTGTACCTGCTGGGGTCAAGCTGCTGGGCATACACGGCGTGAGGGGGGATCGGGTTAGCGCAGCTGCTGCAGTTGGTGCCGTTGTGGAAGTAGTAGCCCGCCGCACAGGACTCCGACACAAGCAGAACCGACCCGCTGCAGCCGTACGACGACCTGTACATGCCGTCGTACGAGATGAGCGAGTAGCAGCATTGCGACTGAGGTGATGACGTCTGCTGCCAACAGCTTGAAGTCTGCCAGCTGGAGCCGTCTGCGAGCATGAGGAGGCAGTTATCCCAGCCGTGCATCCACACGGTCATCTGACTCTCCATGGTGTTAGGAGCGATCTGCCAGCCAGCAGGTATTGCTCTCAGCTCGTTTCCGTCACAACCCCCGCTGTAGCTGTACGGTGAGGAGCCGTCGAGGGCCGCGTAGTACCTTCCGTAGGCCTGTAGCGGACGACAGTCTCCGTCTGCGGACGAGTAGGACCCGAAGTCGCACGCCCACCCGCACATCGTCCCGTTCGTCCCCTCGACCAGCCAGTGAGCCCGCACAGGCTTCACCTCCTCGCACGCGACGCACTGCCCGGCCTTGAGGTAGTAGCCTGCCATGCATCGCCACCCGCACTCCGTCCATGACCCGTTCAGCCCCCCCGGCCCGTACGACACGTACTCTGCGTTGCCCGGTGCCGTCCCGCACGCCTCGCACGCCTCGCCTCGTCGCACGTAGCCAGGCTCGCACTCCCACGGACAGACGCTGTCGCTGTACCTGCTGGGGTCAAGCTGCTGGGCATACACGGCGTGAGGGGGGATCGGGTTAGCGCAGCTGCTGCAGTTGGTGCCGTTGTGGAAGTAGTAGCCCGCCGCACAGGACTCCGACACAAGCAGAACCGACCCGCTGCAGCCGTACGACGACCTGTACATGCCGTCGTACGAGATGAGCGAGTAGCAGCATTGCGACTGAGGTGATGACGTCTGCTGCCAACAGCTTGAAGTCTGCCAGCTGGAGCCGTCTGCGAGCATGAGGAGGCAGTTATCCCAGCCGTGCATCCACACGGTCATCTGACTCTCCATGGTGTTAGGAGCGATCTGCCAGCCAGCAGGTATTGCTCTCAGCTCGTTTCCGTCACAACCCCCGCTGTAGCTGTACGGTGAGGAGCCGTCGAGGGCCGCGTAGTACCTTCCGTAGGCCTGTAGCGGACGACAGTCTCCGTCTGCGGACGAGTAGGACCCGAAGTCGCACGCCCACCCGCACATCGTCCCGTTCGTCCCCTCGACCAGCCAGTGAGCCCGCACAGGCTTCACCTCCTCGCACGCGACGCACTGCCCGGCCTTGAGGTAGTAGCCTGCCATGCATCGCCACTGACATTCATACTGGCTGCTCGCCCTGATAGTTAGTCGCACGTATTCGGCATTTGCTGGCAAAACAAGTTGGTTGCAATGGACGCAGGTGCCTCCCTGCATGTAGAAACCTGCGTCGCAGGTGTAGCCGCACGATGAGAACGAGGTTGTTCCGCCCACCTGCTCTAGAGCTCCGTATGAAGCATTTGCAGGGATGGAGTTGCTGCAGGGCACACAGCTGGAGCCGCTCTGACTGTATCCCGAGGCACAATCGATGGAGCGCAACAGAATAGCCTGGTCACACCCGTTGCTCTTGTACATGCCGTTGTAAGATACCATTGAGCTCCACCAGCATCTACTTGGACTCGTTTGACTGTTTCTTGCTGTGCACCACTCGGTGCCGTCAGCGAGAAACAAGGCGTTGGATCCCCACGGGTAGAGCCAAGTCACATACTGACTGTCTTGTGTGTTGGGCGCTAGCTCCCAGCCCTGGGGTATCGCCATGTACGGGTTGTTCTCGCACGTATACGGATCGTTAGGGCCTCGGCCGCTAAGTGTGGCATAGTATCTGCCAGAATACTCTAGTCCCACGCATCTTCCTCCGACCTGCATATATCCGAAACGACATGCCCACTGACACGTCTGAGAATTATCAGCACCTGCGATGAAGTAGGCGAAGTCTGGCAGAATCGTTCTGCATGCTTTGCATGACGTGTCTTGGAGATAGAAGCCAGCACGACATGTCCAGGCACAGTCACCGTTGCTGCTCGTGTAGATTGAGTTTTGAGGAGCAGAGGAGCAGGGGATACAAGTAGTCACAGAAGCATCCGGATAGTATCCAACATCACACTGCCATTTACAATTGTTCTTAGAAGCAGGGAATCCACTGCTGTTGTAGAAGGCATGGGCGGGTTTGTAGTTACTGCAAGCAACACATTGAGTGAGGTTGTTTGGATCCCTATGATAACCGGCAAGACAGTCTTCAGCTACCACGAGGACAGTGCTGCAGCTTTCAGTGGAGAAAAATTTGTCTTGGTAATTATGCAGCTGAGAAGAACAGCAGTAGCTGCCGTACATCGAGTTCCATGCCTTTCCATCGGCCAGGACCACCAAGTTAGATCCCCACGTGTACTGGGAGGCGACAGCAACGCTCGCGCTGGTGTCAGGAGCTAGCAGCCATCCTGCAGGGATTTCTCTTGCTCCATTCCAGACACACAGGGAGGAGTCGTGAGGTCCGCGCCCGTCCAAGCTAGCGTATCGCTGCCCGTCGAGGTAAATCGAGATGTCTTCGCAGACATTGCTTGAGTTCAGTCGGTACCCGAAGTCACAGGCCCATGCGCAGTCCGAGCCTTCCCAGTGAGCGTTTGAGGGAAGGGCGTCAGTACAAGTCTCACAGCTCCATCCGTCTACTTTATGATACCCAGGCAAGCAGCTCCATGAGCAGCTGTCTGGCTTGCTCTGCAGCCCAGCTCCTGTATAAACAGCCAAGGAAGGCTTGCCTGCACACTGAGAACACGTTGAACCAGTCGGATAGTAGCCGACCTTGCAGCTCCATCCGCAACTGCTCAGCTGCTGAGCGTAAGGTGAGAGCACGTACTCGGCACCTGCTGGAATTTCGTTCGAACAAGGAACACACTGCGACATGTTGGCAGATTCCTTCAACCCCTCGGGATCAGCCGGTTGGTAACCAGCAGCACACATGGGGGCCCGGATGAGAACTCGAGCATCACAGTCGGTTGACCGATAGTAAACTCCATCATACGTCGTCAAAGCATTTTGGTAGTAATCACGGTTGCCTGGAGTACTCCAGTAGTACATCATGTCCCAGTACCAAGATGGACCTGATATGTCGTTCAGTATGCTGTTCGTGTAGTAGCTGGAGCCACTGTCCAGCACAAGTCGGAGGGCTCCCCAGTCGTACTTGGCGGTGACATTGATGCTGAGCTCATCATCGGGTGCCACCACCCAGCTTGCCGGCAAGGGGAGGTACTCGGCGTTGTCAGAGAGACAGCCCCATGTGGAGTACTGCGAGTATGGTCCGTATCCTCCAAGGGTCGAGAACACATAGCCTGACTCCTGGGCAACCTCCTGCCAGGCGCAGGAGTCAGATCCCAGCTGCTGTCCTGCTGATACGAAGACAGCGTTGGCTGGCCGGTTCAGACAGGGCCAGCACATGCTGCCTGATTTGTAGAACCCGACGTCGCACAGCCAGCCGCACTGATCATTTGCATAGGTTGCGTTCATAGGCTTGCCGGTGCACTCAATGCAGGTGCCATCCTGCAGGTAGAATCCAGGCTCACAGATCCAACTGCATGTTTCTGGCGCTCCTGAGGGGAGCGGAGAGTACAACGCGTGCTCAGGAATGGTGATGTTGCTGCAGGTGACACATGGCAGATTGATCAGGATGTTAGAAGACGGGACGCCAGAGACTATCAGCACAGGTTGACCAACACGAGGATCAAAAGTCGTTAAGGTAGTTCCCATTCCATCGCTCATCATGTACATGGTTGAGAAATAAATGTCCTGTCTGCCCACAGCCACACGCAGGGTGTTGTTGGCAAAGAAAGTGACCTCAAAGATAAGATTCGGATTTCCTGGTTGACCAGAGGTCGACGAAGTCCCCTCGAACCTGATCACATAGGCGTCCATGTTGTCCTCCCTGATCGGACTGCCGACGATGAGCTGGGCTGAAGTGTCTCCAGCTCCGACAAACAGCGTGGGATACCAAGGATTCGTAGCTGAGAGTGAGCTGTAGGCCGACGAACCTCCTCCGAAGGTGATGAAGCTGTTGGAGGAGACGAACACAGATGTCTGCTGGTTGCCTCCAAAGATGCAGAAGGGAAACCCAAGGTTCGGCACCAGCCAGCTGCTGTCGTCGACCGAAGTCGGCGGGAGGATGTAGCTCCAGTTTCTTCCTGACGTTGGATCTGGCTTGAGATAAGTCGTGTTCAGTATGGATGAATTGGTCGGCCCGTAGAAGTGAGCTGCTGCGGGTTTTGACTCTGCAGAATCGCGGAACATGCTGGAGCAGAACTCCCGAGTCTGACCTGGAGGACATCCGACGTAAACAATCAAAATTCGGGAGTTGCAGTACTGGGGCCAGTACAAGCCATCGCTGCTTTGCTCCAGATTGTTGTGCGAGTAGGAGCAATACATGCAGTTGGTGGGATAGCTGTTCCCGCTGTTGACGACCATGGAGGTCGTGCCCCACGTATACATGCCGATGACATCTCTCGAAGTCTGATCGTCAGGAGCTACAGCCCAGCTCTTTGGGAGGCGCATGGCTCTTGTCTGGCAGTCTTGGCTGGTATCAGTCCTCTGTGATTGATAGTAAGCTCCGTCGAGTGTGGCGTACTTCCTGCCGCCATACACGATGCTTGGGAGAGAATCTCCAAGACGCTCCATGTCATCTCCCGGAGCCTGTCGGGCCAAACATTTCAAAGTTACTCGCACTTGCGGCAATACACGCGAGGCTCACCTGAGAGTTGTCGAGGAGAGAAAGCTCACTGACCTGTGCATGTGAAACCTGAGCTGAGTTCAATCTTGAGCGTGGTCTTGCTGATGACAGCGAAGCTGATCTATCAAGAGAGCGTTGCTTGGACAGTGCATGAACATGTTTCTTAGAGTCTTGGGAATCACGAGCGATTCTATCGCGAATCTCCATCATGCGGTTGGCAGGTGCATCATGGATTGACTGCGAATCAGAGGACTCTGCCCGCGACAAGATCTCATCAGACTCCGCAGCAGCTGCAGAAGCAAACCAGATCACAACGATAATGAGCATCTTCAGCTGCATCATGCGGGGTGCCCATCGAGGCATCTTAAGTTTTTGAAGTGCCTGTAACAAAAATTATCATGTCTAGAAACAAGCATGGTTGGCATAAGGTGAACTAAATAGAGCAAAAGGAGAGAACAGAAGAGATCAAGTGAGAGGAGGGAACAGGAGAGGAGAGAAGAGAAAAGAAGGAGAGATAAATGGATAGAAGGTAGCCCAGGAGAGGAGAGGAGAGGAGAGGAGAGGAGAGGAGAGGAGAGGAGAGGAGAGGAGAGGAGAGGAGAGGAGAGGAGAGGAGAGGACAGGACAAGACAAGCCAAGGAGAGGAGAGGAGAGGAGAGGAGAGGAGAGGAGAGGAGAGGAGAGGACAGGAGAGGACAGGGAGAGGACAGGAGAGGACAGGAGAGGACAGGAGAGGAGAGGAGAGGAGAGGAGAGGACAGGAGAGGAGAGGAGAGGAGAGAGAGGAGAGAGAGGAGAGACAGGACAGGAGAG